CCGGAGGCCCCGCCCCCGGGCCCGCAGCCCCGCCTCTGATGAAAACAAAATATTGGAAGCCTGCGGCAGAGCATAGAGAACACGAAACATCAGGGCGTCCGCGCGGCTCTGTCCGGCCCGAACAGGACACCCGCACTGCCTGCTTATTCAGAGGAAAACAAACACCGGATGTTGTGAAGCCCCTTGTTCCCTCCGTGACCCCGTCTCTTCCCCCGCTTCCCAAGGAAAACTCTTACATTGGGGGTCCCATTCCTCTGCAGGTGTTGATTCTTTTTAAAAAAAATATGTTTTATTGATTCTGGGGAGGAAAGGAGAGGGAAAGAGATATAGAAACATCAATGATGAGAGAGAATCATTGACTGGCTGCCTCCTGCACGCCCCCTACTGGGGATGGAGCCCACAACCCAGGCATGTGCCCTTGGCCGGAATCGAACCTGGGACCCTTCAGTCCACAGGCCAATGCTCTATCCATCGAGCCAAACCAGCTAGGGCCAGGTGTTGATTCTTTTACTCCATATTTACCAGGCCACAAACCATGCTTAGGACCGTGGGGCGTTTTTGGCATAATATCCGGGGTGTCCCCAAAAAATGTATACTCACTTTAACAGCTGATAGCTCCATTTTGAAAATGAAATGTATTTTAATAAACGCTTCCTTTATGATTATTCAAAGTGTGTGTATACATTTTGGGGGGATGCCCTGTAGATATAGTGTGTGTTTCTCTCCAAACTTGGTCCCTTCTCCATTTATACTTGAGCTTCATCCATATGGGCAGGAGAGCTTTGAGTCCCTCATTTTCCCTGGATCAGCATCTAGTGTCCATGTTCATTTACCCATTGTTGGGTCTTTAGGAATTTTTAAAAATGTTTCAAGTTTGATTTATTGGCTTTCTTTTTGGCTGCCCTCCTGTGTCTCCACGGGACATGCCTGGGTGGTCTGCCCACCCTCAGCCTTAGTAAATGACTGCTTGCTTGCTCACCCAGGTGGCTGTGGCATGGAGCCCCTGGAAGCCGTGTGATGGTGGCAGGCCTTTTAACTGCCAGTCTGAGGTGTTCCCTTTGCTACCTCCTGCCCACAAGAGCTGGTGGGAAGTGATAAGGAGGCAGGTCTGGTACCAGGCACCCTACCCCAGGCCCATTAGGACCATCATTAGGATGGTTTATCTGGCCTTGTTCTCATCTCTGAGATGGGCTTCTCCTTCCCGGGTTGCGGGTGGGAGAGTGCTGTAACGTACCTTTCATTTTTACTGGTGGGAGTCTTGTGTCTAGCTTCCTTCTTCCCTAACACGAGCTGGGAGGGTCCTAGAGGCACCCCAAGTCCTCATGCTCTCCCTAGAGAGAGGGCAGGGGTCATGCTCTCCCTAGAGAGAGGGCAGGGGTCATGCTCTCCCTAGAGAGAGGGCAGGGGTCAGCTTTGCCTGGACGTACTTCTGTGCCGCCTCAGCGCAGGTGGTGAGCTGTTCCCAGTTCTCCTCCGTCCACAGATTGTTCTAGAATTGCTGACTGTGGGCTCCCTGCTCCCTTCTCCATCTCGCCAGCCTCTGAGGGGAGGGCAGGATGGGCTGCAATCCAGCCCCGCTGCTCAGCCCCATGGGACTTTGGTTGGGTGACTGTCTCACCCGGCAGTCGGTGACGAGATCACAGCTAATATGCACCGAACACTTGCTGTCCTTCCTCGAGGTGACGACATTGGCCCAGATGGGCAGAGGAGCTGGGATTTGGGCCCGGCTGACAATAATAGCAGCTGCTTCGCAGGGTTGTCTGAGGATGTAGCTCACTCGTAGACCCCCGTGCCGCCCTCCTCCCTGCCCTTGGACCTGACCGCTTTCTACCTTCCTCTTCTCTCTCTTTCCCCAGAGGCAAGAGGAGCAGCAGCGACACGGCCCCTCGCCTTGGCGGGTCCTGTACAATCTCATCCTGGGACTGCTGCCCTTGCCCAGGGGCCGCGGAGCCCCGGAGATGGAGCCCAATTAGGTGCCTGCACCTGCCTGGTGGACGTCGGGGACTTGGGGGGCAGGCCCCTCCCACAGCCTGACGCCCTGGCCAGCACAGGGGACATTTCCTGCACCATGTAGCATACTGGACTACGAGCCCTGCCTGTCCCAGGGGCGGGCCCGGGCAGCCACTCCAGACCCAGCCCCGGCCCAGCCTGGGGTGCACTGTCGGCGATGTGGACTCCTGGGTCCCTGGCCGAGAAGCCAGGGGAGAGAGGGCTGATGGACTCAGCGTCTGAAGGCGGCGGTGACCGAGGGGGTGGGGACTGAGCCGCCCGCCTCCGCCGCCCACCACCATCTCAGGAAAGGCTGCTGGTGCTGGCTGCCCGTTCCAGCTGCAGGGGTGACACTGGGGGGTCCCCTCCCAGTGCTCCTTCACTTTGGGCCTGGCCTCAGGCCCCTGGTGCTTCCCCCCCTCCTCTTGGGGAGGGGGCCCGTGAAGAACAAATGAGCCAAACGTGACCACTAGCCTCCTGGAGCCAGAGAATGGGGTGCGTCTGACGGCTGCCCCAGCCCAGCGCCCAGCCATCTTCCCTGAGCCAGCCGGCGGGTGGTGGGCATGCCTGCCTCACCTTCATCTGGGGGTGGCCAGGGGGGCCCAGACTGTGAATCCTGTGCTCTGCCCATGACCACCCCCACCCCCATCAATCCATTGCATAGGTTTAGAGAGAGCACGTGTGACCACTGGCATTCATTTGGGGGGTGGGATATTTTGGCGGAAACCGCCCCAGCCTTAGTCCCCAGGGCGAAGCGCTGGGGGGAAGCGGGGAGTCAGGGAGGGGGAATCGCAGCAGAGGGAGGAGTCTGGGAGTGGGGAGGGACGGCCCAGCCTGTAAATTACTGTACATGCGCTGCTGTAGATACCGGAATGAATTTTCTGTACATGTTTGGTTAATTTTTTTTGTACATGATTTTTGTATGTTTCCTTTTCAATAAAATCAGATTGGAACAGTGGATCCTCTCTCTGCTCTCCTTCCCCGCCCGTGACCTGGGCAGAGCTGCTGGGACCGGCT